TAAAGATGTCAAGAAAAAGAAGAAAAAGAAAAGGCTCCATATATATAATATTGTCAAATTAAAATTTAATATACAAAGAATGATTCATTTATATAAGTCTTATTTTGTTCCATATATAAGTCTTACATTGTTCCATATATATAATCTTGTCAAACTAAAATTTAAATTCAAAGAATGATTCATTTATTTTGTTCCATATATAAGTCTCAGTGTGTTCCATATATATAATATTACCAAATTAAAATTTGTTATTTAAAGAATGATCCATTTATTTTATTCCATATATAAGTCTTAGTATGTTCCATATATATTCTTCCTAAATTTATAGAGAATAATAATAAATTATTTAAATGACAAGAAATATTATTTAAAACAAAAAAAAGGTATTTTAATTTTAATTCATTAAAAGTAGAATAAGAAAGGAAATGACTTCTAAGTTGTCATACAAATTCAATTCATAGTCATGGGCAGAATTAGAAGATCACTTCTCTAATATACGTGGATTGGTTCTTACAAAAGAATAAAACATTTATTAATTTAATTAGTTAGTACATGAAGAGGAGAAATAAAAAAAAAGTACCAAAGGAATGGAGAAAAAAGAAAAACTATGTTGGAGTATATATATACTGTAACAAAATAAAATAACAATAAAAATAATAACAATAATAATAATAACAATAATAATAATAGTATTAATAATATTATTATAATAATAATAATATAATATAATAATAAAATAATTTAAAAAATATATTGTAACAAAGTTTTGTAGTGCTTTTATTTATAAGACAATATATGAATATCTAATGTATTATATATATAAAATTTAGGAGTTATAATCATCAAAAGTCATGAGAATTATGAAATAAAGATAATTTAATTTTTATATCGAAGTATATAAATAAATGAAGGAGTAATAATTGACACAATCATTTTTGTATAAAAATAATAAGAAATAAAGTAGAATATGAAAGAAAATGACTTCTATTTTGAGAGAAAACTTTGAAAATAAAACTTATAAATAAAAAGGCGCATAATTAACGTGTTAGGAAAAAGAAAGAAAAAACTAAAATGAAAAAGAAACTAGATTGTATTATTTATTTCCTTTTTTAGTTTATTTCATGTTTTATAATATAAAACTCAAATAAAAGAAACCTAGGGTTAGATGCATATAAATATATTAATGACGATTAAATTTTCAAAAAGTGTACTTCACAAACTTGATAAGTATTAGTAAACATTATACTTCACAAATTTATCAATACTATGTGTTAGTATACATTAAAAATATTAGTAAGCACTTAAAGACTAAAATTTGTAGACATTATACTTCACAACTTTTATCAACTATGTGTTGGTATATCATATAACAAAGAAATTATAAATAAAAATACTTTTATTTGTGATTCTTAGATAATTTGATGAATGAATTCATTATGATATCGTATGAATTTTATTTGGTAAACTCATTGATTTTTGTAATTTGTATAAAATTGATTTGTGGAGGAGTGACGATGTAGTACCTTCTATAGGCAAAATAAAAATGATTATTTTATTTTATTGGTAATTTTATCTTCAATTCGTTATTTTCACTTTTCGTTTTTTTTTATTTCTGTAACTTACATTTTTTTTTTTTATTTGACACCATCTTTTATATAATTTACATTTATCAATTAGTCAAATATATATTGTTTAGAAGTAATTTTATTTTCATAAAAAAATGATATAATAAATTTAAATAACTTTATATTTCGCGCGGCCAAAGTGAATTCACTTGTTAATTGATAATAGAAGATACTAAAGTGTATTTTGTCTGCTAACCCTAATGTCAGTTAATTAATTAATATTTTAATTAATAAATTAATTATAAAGCTAATAATTAAATGCAGGTGTCGTTATTTTCTGTTGACTAATCAAAGGAATAATATAACATGTCAGAAATGATACGGTTGTCTCTTTATACTATAGTTTAACACCGACCAACATATGACATTATAACAAAACACAAGGGATGACTAGATTGTGTTCTTTGTTTATTAATATTCAATAATGACCTCTCATTGGTTACCAAGGGTTAGCGATCGTGGCAGATTCAAAATTTTCATTAACGAGATTCCAAAAAAATATATATATTTAGAACATTCAAATACATATATAAGTGTAATTTTTTATCAAGGAGGTTCAGGTGAACCTTTTAATTAGGGGTGTACAAAATCGAACCGAAAACCGAATAAAACTGCAAACCGAATCAAATCGAGAAAAAAAACCCGACTAGTGGTTGGTTTGACTTGGTTTGATATTGGAAAAAAAAACTCGACTATATTTGGGTTGGTTTTGTTTTAACTAAAAAAAAACAACCCGAGACCAAATCAACACATTATATATATAATTTTAAAATTTTATTTTATACATAAATATATTTACTTTGATATAATTTTTAAATATTTCTTATACTTTTTCATAGTTTTTATCTTTTAATATATTATTTCAAGTTTGAAAAATTTAGAATTCTGAATGATTCAATAAAGCTTATAGTACACAGATGTTGGTAATTATAATAAAACTTAAATCAAAATCAAATTAATACTAATGCAAAAAGAAAATCAATTCAACACTAAGAATGACAATAATATTGAATATTTGTTCTTTGGTTTTACATTGGTTTAGACAATTCAAATACATAATCTAATTTTAATTTCCTTTAATATTTAGTCATGTAACTAATACTTATTAAACTTATTTTAGCATGATTTAGTACTTTTAAATTATGACTTGTTAATTTTCATTATGACTTGTTAATTTGCAATATTTGTTTTACGCGATTTCATTATTATTATTTTTTTGTTGGATATTTTAGTGTCATTACTCATATCACATTTTGTGTTATTTTCTTAAGAAACACCTTAGATAGTTGTATTTTGATAGGACTAAAGAAATATTTGAAGTACAAGTAAATTTTATGTTTATATGAACACTTTATCAGAAAAACCCGAAAATATGAAAAATCCGAAAAAACCCGAGGTTGAAAAACTCGAATTTTATTGGTTTAGTTTGGTTTGTAGATTTAAAAATCTGACACAAATGATTTGGTTTGATATTTGAAAACCCCGAACCAACCCGGCAATGTACACCCCTACTTTTAACCCTTCTCTAGATCCGTCCCCGAGTAGAGGAGGAGAAAATACCACACACTCCCATAGAAATAGAAGCAATTACTATCAATGAAGAGTTTAAATTTTATGTAATCACAAATAATTCTATTTAATAAGTATTGATTGATACTATAGAATAAATGGTAAGGAATCTATTATAAGAAATTAAATAACATTAATTAGTGAAAAATATATATTTATATTACATATTTACATTGTAGAAAAGAAAATATTTTGTATGTCAAAATTATCGAGCCAGGCTTTTATCTTCCATGGTAGTGGAAGGTTTAGCATTGGCTCCTAATTAACATGTTAATATCTTTAATTAACGAAAAGTACAAAGCAAGAGACATAAACCTAACCTCCGATCCTAATGGTGGTAACACTAGTCAACTATCTTGCTAAAGATAGTTTAATTAGTCAACAAAAGAACTAGTGGGGTGAAATAATAGGAAAATTAATACCATAATAGGAGGACTTTTCCTATTTACAATTGGTTATATTAAAGTAAACTATGGAGACTTCCTTACATCACAAAAAAAAAGATAAACTTCTAGTTAAGGTACATAAAAAATGTACATATGAAGCATTCTTCTATTTCCATGGGTAAGACTTTGGAGTACTATGAAGGTTCTTCATTAGAACTATAACTTGTTTTTTTTCAGAATGTAAGTTGTCAAAAGAAAAAAAAAAACCTCCTCATATGGACAGAATGTTCCGCTACTGAGACTTGAAAAAGCAGCTTTCAAGGTCTGATCGCTTTGGTAAATCACTTGAGCTCTAAAACCTGTAGGAATTCATCTTCATCAAGGAGGCAGTGTGGAAAGTCAATTGAGTTGAATTGATCACTCAAATTTTTTATTTTGTTGGAGTATCAATTGTAGATCATGCAATGATGGACTATGATTATTATTATTATTATGGTCAACCACAATATAATTAGCTTCCCTGTGGTTTTTATTATTATGGTCACAATATATACTATTCAACTTTTTTCTTCTATAACAAATCCTTATTGATGACAAATAAAGAGATCATCAGAAATATAAACCAAATAGACCATTTCTTTAAACCTAACTCATATTTCTCCAACTGGATAGAACACTTCCAGAAGTTTATTTTCCCCAGAACTCAATAGAATCGACAAGAAAAAATCAAACAATCTCATGTTATGTTGATGATATGGATTCACAATTGAAGTGGAGTAATGGCCTATGGATTACAAAAGACATGACTCCTTTATCCTCGCATTGGAGCCTGAATAATTTGATTCGTGCTGCGTAGGGCCCCATTTGAGAGGGAAGTGCTCCCTACCAAGGATTTCTCTATATCCAGGGCTCGAACCCGAGATCTCTAGTTAAGGGGAGCAGACTCATCCACTGCACCACATTCTTTTGTGGTCAAAAGCCCAGGACTTCTTTAGATCTCACCTGTTTCCTCTGTTTTGTTTGTGATTAGTTTAGACCAATTTGTACTTGATGATTTCTTAGTCATTCATGCTCGGACAAGTCGATCTCTGTAAGCTATTCAACCTTCAGTAGGAAAAAACTAAAAGCAGATTTGTTAAGGTAAGTACATGAAAAGATCTTCCAATATTCTACTTAAGAGCATCCATTTGATGTTGAATTTAGTTTTCCGTCAGAAGAAACAACAGCTGCATCAGTAATAATCAAGGAACTAACTCATACCTTGATAATCCATCGACCTTGTAACCGGTTGAGGCAACATCATGTTATCAATACACCAGTTTCCTGTTTGTTCATATGTTGTTGGGAGAAAACAATAAATAAGCTCCATCAAGCAACATGATCATTACTTTCAATAGTAGTCCTCTGCATCACACATATTTTATGAAGCAAGAGCGATAGTGTCGTCTATGCTTCTCTTTTTCTTGCAGCCTTCCAAAAAAATGCGCCATATTAGAGCATTTGGAGGGAAAGGCATCCCAGTGATTAACTGCTCGGCTTCTGTCAAATAGCCATACCTAGCCAACAAGTCCACTGCAATAAGATAGTGATCCATCTCTGGTTCTACCCCATATTTCCCTTTCATCTGCCCAAACAATTTCATTCCCTCTTTCACTAATCCAACGTGCCTACATGCTGAAAGCACAGCTACGAAAACAACCTTATCAGGTTTAATTCCGTTCATATCCATCTCCTTGAATTTCTCTAATGCCTCGTGTGCATAACCGTGCAGTCCAAGGGCTGAAACAATGGTTGTCCATGTGATCACATTTTTAGTCGTCATTTCATTGAAAATCTTGATTGAACTTGCAAGACTCCCGCATTTGCCATACATGTCAATCATGATATTGCAGACAAATGTGTCACAACGCTTAAAATCAGTCTTTATAATGAGGCCATGAAGTGAGCTACCTAGACCAAGGTTACAAAGCTTGGTGCACACACTAAACAGGCTAACATATGTGTATCTATCAGGAGATACTCTAGCCATCCGCATGTGTCCAAGAAGTTCAAAAACTTCTTCGTAATCACCATTTCTAGAACAGGCTGCAATCAAGATATTCCAAGATACAGTATCTGGATTTTCAAGGTCCGAAAACAACTCTTGAGTCTTATCGAATTGTCCATTTCTGTTATAAATATTTGCGATCATATTGGATGCAACAACAGGAAGTGGCATGTCATTGGTAGTGACAAACCTTAGGGCATCATCAACTGAACTAGATTTTGCATACGAAGAAATGAAACTGCTAGAGACATAATCATTATCAATGTAACCCATTTTTATGGACAAAGAATGGAGCTGAAGTACCTCTAATAGTCCTGACGATTTCACAGCAATAGAAAAAGAAAACTCAGTGGGAAGACAACCCGAGTGAATCATTTGTTGAAGCAGCGTAATAACATAAGAAGAACCTTTACTCGAATAACCCAACATCAACGTATTCCAAGAAACCACATTCTTCTCCGATATTTCATCAAAGCAAACATGAGCATCATCCAATCTATCACATTTAACATAAAAGTCAAGTAAAGCACTACCGACATATACATCAGATTCAAACTTTTTCTGGATTACTTTCGCATGGATGGACTCCCCAAGCAATCGAAACTGCTGGCTAGTGCAGCAACTTAGGGCACTCACATAACTCGTATCATTAGGCAATAAGCCACTTACACACATTTTCCTAAAAACAACCAATGCCCTATCTGCTCTTTCAATCTTCGCCATTGCACCAACCATTGTATTCCACGACACAACATCCTTAACAGGAACATCTTCAAACATTTTCTCCGTCTTATGTATGTCAGCGCATTTCGCATACATGTTAATCAATGAATTATTCACTGAAACAGAAAAATCCAGTCCATTTTTCACTACCTACCCATGTACTAGTTCCCCTAATATCAAATCAAGTTCCCCAACAAAACCGACCAATATGCCCACGAAAGTGCTCTCGGAAGGAGCCATTCCACTCCTTAATAACCTCCTTAACACCATCATTGACTCCTCAACACATTCATACTGTCCAAACAAGGATATCATACAATTCAAAGTCACCAAATTCCTTTTAGGCATTTCGTCGAAAACCTGCATAGCTTCATCTAACCATCCTTTCCTTCCAAGTAAACCCAATAATGCAGTCCCTGTTACAGCATCAACGAAAAACAGCCCCAATTTTTCAGCCAACGCTTGCAACTGAAATCCTTGAATAACATCCAAACACTCACAACCCAAAACCCCACCAAAACTAAACTGAGTCGGCACATATCCACAACCCCTCATCTCAGAAAACAACTTCCAAGCCTCTAATATACTTCCATTGCGACTATCAACTATGTGTTGGTATATCATGTATTACATATATATTTACATTGTAGAAAAGAAAATATTTTGTATGTTAAAATTATCGAACCAGGCTTTTATCTTCCATGGTAGTGGAAGGTTTAGCATTGGCTCCTAATTAACATGTTAATATCTTTAATTAACGGAAAGTACAAAGCAAGAGACATAAACCTAACCTCCGATCCTAATGGTGGTAACACTAGTCAACTATCTTGCTAAAGATAGTTTAATTAGTCAACAAAAGAACTAGTGGGGTGAATTAATAGGAAAATTAATACCATAATAGGAGGACTTTTCCTATTTACAATTGGTTATATTAAAGTAAACTATGGAGACTTCCTTTTACATCACAAAAAAAAAGATAAACTTCTAGTTAAGGTACATAAAAAATGTACATATGAAGCATTCTTCTATTTCCATGGGTAAGACTTTGGAGTACTATGAAGGTTCTTCATTAGAACTATAACTTATTTTTTTGATAATGTAAGTTGTCAAAAGAAAAAAAACCTTCTTGTATCGATAGAACGTTCAGCTACTGAGACTTGAAAAAGCAGCTTTCAAGGTCTGATCACTTTGGTAAATCACTTGAGCTCTAAAACCTGTAGGAATTCATCTTCATCAAGGGGGCAGTGTGGAAAGTCAATTGAGTTGAATTGATCACTCAAATTTTTGATTTTGTTGGAGTTTCAATTGTAGATCATGCAATGATGGATTATGATTATTATTATTATTATGGTCAACCACAATATAATTAGCTTCCCTGTGGTTTTTATTATTATGGTCACAATATATACTATTCAACTTTTTTCTTCTATAACAAATCCTTATTGATGACAAATAAAGAGATCATCAGAAATATAAACCAAATAGACCATTTCTTTAAGCCTAACTCATATTTCTCCAACCGGATAGAACACTTCCAGAAGTTTATTTTCCCCAGAACTCAATAGAATCGACAAGAAAAAATCGAACAATATCATGTTATGTTGATGATATGGATTCACAATTGAAGCAGAGTAATGGCCTATGGATTACAAAAGACATGACTCCTTTGTCCTCGCATTGGAGTCTGACTAATTTGATTAGTGCTGCGTAGGGCCCCATTTAAGGGGGAAGTGCTCCCTACCAAGGATTTCTCTATATCTAGGGCTCGAACCCGAGATCTCTAGTTAAGGGGGGAGCAGACTCATCCACTGCACCACATTCTTTAGTGGTAGACTTCTTTAGATCTCACCTGTTTCCTCTGTTTTGTTTGTGATTAGTTTAGACCAATTTGTACTTGATGATTTCTTAGTCATTCATGCTCGGACAAGTCGATCTCTGTAAGCTATTCAACCTTCAGTAGGAAAAAACTAAAAGCAGATTTGTTAAGGTAAGTACATGAAAAGATCTTCCAATAATCTACTTAAGAGCATCCATTTGATGTTGAATTTAGTTTTCCGTCAGAAGAAACAACAACTGCATCAGTAATAATCAAGGAACTAACTCATACCTTGATAATCCATCGACCTTGTAACCGGTTGAGGCAACATCATGTTATCAATACACCAGTTTCCTGTTTGTTCATATGTTGTTGGGAGAAAACAATAAATAAGCTCCATCAAGCAACATGATCATTACTTTCAATAGTAGTACTCTGCATCACACATATTTTATGAAGCAAGAGCGAGAGTGTCGTCTATGCTTCTCTTTTTCTTGCAGCCTTCCAAAAAAATGCGCCATATTAGAGCATTTGGAGGGAAAGGCATCCCAGTGATTAACTGCTCGGCTTCTGTCAAATAGCCATACCTAGCCAACAAGTCCACTGCAATAAGATAGTGATCCATCTCTGGTTCTACCCCATATTTCCCTTTCATCTGCCCAAACAATTTCATTCCCTCTTTCACTAATCCAACGTGCCTACATGCTGAAAGCACAGCTACGAAAACAACCTTATCAGGTTTAATTCCGTTCATATCCATCTCCTTGAATTTCTCTAATGCCTCGTGTGCATAACCGTGCAGTCCAAGGGCTGAAACAATGGTTGTCCATGTGATCACATTTTTAGTCGTCATTTCATTGAAAATCTTGATTGAACTTGCAAGACTCCCGCATTTGCCATACATGTCAATCATGATATTGCAGACAAATGTGTCACAACGCTTAAAATCAGTCTTTATAATGAGGCCATGAAGTGAGCTACCTAGACCAAGGTTACAAAGCTTGGTGCACACACTAAACAGGCTAACATATGTGTATCTATCAGGAGATACTCTAGCCATCCGCATGTGTCCAAGAAGTTCAAAAACTTCTTCGTAATCACCATTTCTAGAACAGGCTGCAATCAAGATATTCCAAGATACAGTATCTGGATTTTCAAGGTCCGAAAACAACTCTTGAGTCTTATCGAATTGTCCATTTCTGTTATAAATATTTGCGATCATATTGGATGCAACAACAGGAAGTGGCATGTCATTGGTAGTGACAAACCTTAGGGCATCATCAACTGAACTAGATTTTGCATACGAAGAAATGAAACTGCTAGAGACATAATCATTATCAATGTAACCCATTTTTATGGACAAAGAATGGAGCTGAAGTACCTCTAATAGTCCTGACGATTTCACAGCAATAGAAAAAGAAAACTCAGTGGGAAGACAACCCGAGTGAATCATTTGTTGAAGCAGCGTAATAACATAAGAAGAACCTTTACTCGAATAACCCAACATCAACGTATTCCAAGAAACCACATTCTTCTCCGATATTTCATCAAAGCAAACATGAGCATCATCCAATCTATCACATTTAACATAAAAGTCAAGTAAAGCACTACCGACATATACATCAGATTCAAACTTTTTCTGGATTACTTTCGCATGGATGGACTCCCCAAGCAATCGAAACTGCTGGCTAGTGCAGCAACTTAGGGCACTCACATAACTCGTATCATTAGGCAATAAGCCACTTACACACATTTTCCTAAAAACAACCAATGCCCTATCTGCTCTTTCAATCTTCGCCATTGCACCAACCATTGTATTCCACGACACAACATCCTTAACAGGAACATCTTCAAACATTTTCTCCGCCATATGTATGTCAGAGCATTTCGCATACATGTTAATCAATGAATTATTCACTGAAACAGAAAAATCCAGTCCATTTTTCACTACCAACCCATGTACTAGTTCCCCTAATATCAAATCAAGTTCCCCAACAAAACCGGCCAATATGCCCACGAAAGTGCTCTCGGAAGGAGCCATTCCACTCCTTAATAACCTCCTTAACACCATCATTGACTCCTCAACACATTCATACTGTCCAAACAAGGATATCATACAATTCAAAGTCACCAAATTCCTTTTAGGCATTTCGTCGAAAACCTGCATAGCTTCATCTAACCATCCTTTCCTTCCAAGTAAACCCAATAATGCAGTCCCTGTTACAGCATCAACGAAAAACAGCCCCAATTTTTCAGCCAACGCTTGCAACTGAAATCCTTGAATAACATCCAAACACTCACAACCCAAAACCCCACCAAAACTAAACTGAGTCGGCACATATCCACAACCCCTCATCTCAGAAAACAACTTCCAAGCCTCTAATATACTTCCATTGCGACTATAACCACTAATCATTGTATTGTATGACGCAACATTTCTTTTGGACATATTATCAAACACCTTGCGTGCAATGCAGATATCACCGAATACAGAATACTTGAACATGATAGTGTTATTCGCCAAAAAGGGTTGAGTTGGGTGTTGCCCCATTGTTATTGTGAGTGCGTGAAGAGCCTTAGTTGCGTCGAGAGATTGAATCCAATTTGGTTCTTGAAGTAACTGAATAAGCCTTTGGTGCTTGATATTATCTCCATGATTAGAGAAATATTTAGGGAATATTGAAATTCTTGACAGTGAAGTAGTGTTCCTCATGCAGCAGTAGCCAAAGAGTACTGGAAAGTATTAAGCTTGTGTGCATTAAGGAGCTACAATTTTATGCACTTGATTCGAGGAAGGATCGGATTACAAGAGTTTACTGTACACAGTCTTACCTGCTATGTTTATGGGTTTTATATTCGAGAAAAAAGAACCATATGGATTTAAATCAAACACAAGATTGTAGTCAGGCTAAAGTTATTTAAAACATCAAACATTCTTTCGAGGATCATATATATAACATACAGAGGTGAATCTAAAGATTTTTAGAATATGAATACATCACGAAAAAAATGCATTAAGTGAGAATTGATCTCTGATTCTGTCGGAAATTGTCTTGTGAAAATATCATACTATGGTCTTTTCAACTCTTAATATATTACTCTTACTACTACTTATGAAGAAAACAAGTGGAAATGCAAGTATCAACACCCTTGCTATTGATCCCGGAAGAAAATGGAAAGGTAATTCTCCTATAACCTATCATCTACTGAAGTTGTGTTCCTATCCTTCCTCATGATTGTGATCTTCACTTTTTCATGGCCTTATCTCCTGAATTGTTAATAAGGTCTTGGGCTCCATTTAAGTTTTATGTTTATTTTCTTTGATGAAAATGTCTTTATGTTTGTATTTTCCAATAATTTTTGCCTATCCCCTGCTCATGTTAGTTATAAAATATAAGCACAGAGTTGTTGGTGCCTTGTCTCTGAGCGTTGTAAGTTGATATGATTTGTTGTGATGCATTGACATCACTCTCAGATCATCTAGCACTCAACATGAAACCTAGCCACTTTTATATATCAGGGTTATACTTTGTTACTATTGTCTACTGATATTCAAGAGTCAAAGGTTGAAAAAAAGGAGTTTAGTGAATTGAGGACAGCTTTTACGTTCTTAGCTTTCATCACCTGAAACTATTTGATGCTGCACGTTCTATTCTTTCAAACTTGGTTGGTCATATCCTTGTCCTATTCTGCTTACGTCAATGAGCTCGTTTTTAGTGTCGTACAATGTCGCTGCTTTTATCTTATCAGCTTCAACAAACTGTCAGGGCCTTGGAGATGGTTCGATGAATCCATGTTGGACTGCTGTGAGCCATTGGAGAAGGTTAAAGCTAAAGGGATCTCCTTTGGGAAAGTGGTATGTTTGGCTCACTGTGCAGGAGCGAAGGTGGAAGCTTTTCGCTCTAATCTTAGCACCATTGATGACTTCCGTAAACATGTCATGGCCTGCACAACTAGTGATGATTGTCATCTGATCTCATCTTATCATCGAGGACTTTTTAAACAGGTAAATATAAACATAGCTTCTCTATGCTCCTGCTTATCATTGTGAAGAAGTATATTGTTGTATTGGGAGTTTGGTCCCTCAGGAATATTATTGGTAATATTGCTAATTGTTTATTTATGAAGGTTTATAGTACCCCTTCTTGACTTATCCTGAAGATTGGAACATCTCTTCTGAATCTTATGGCAGACAGGTTCAGGCCACTTTTCACCTATTGGTGGTTATCACGCGGAAAAGGATATGGCACTGATTCTAGATGTTGCAAGGTTTAAATATCCCCCTCACTGGGTTCCCGTCCCTCTCCTTTGGGAAGCCATGAACACAATTGATGAAGCTACAGGATTACATAGGGGGTATATAATTCCACATAGCTACAGTGTGATATATCTTGATTTTCATTATAAGCTGTTGACATCCGCCTTACCTTGAACAGCGTCTCATTCATGCTTTTTAGCTGTCAACTGATAATTTCTAAGCATTTGCTTAGGAATATAAATATGTAGAGGAAGATGTTTTACTATGTGATTTGGTCTTCCCTCTTATATTAAAGATGAAAATTGGAAATCAAAGAAATTGATTGCTCAACTGTTTCAGCACTGCTTCTGGTCTTCTTCAAATATAACTGTTTTTTCTCTTCATTTTTTTCTTTTCCTATTCCTCTTCTGTCCAAATTTAGCGGTCCTTCTTACTCCATCTCATACTTGCAGCATGGATTTCAGTGACTTATGTGCAAACACATAATTTTCAGGTTTATGCTTGTCTCTAAGCTTCATAGAGCTCCTGCACTGCTATATACCCTGGTAAGGCTTAAGTAGCTCGTATTATACCACTTGGTTTTATAAGTAAACTCCTTAGGATAAACTACAACAAGCAACTTCTATTCAATTCAAAATCTGAATCTCTCATAAGCTTTCTTATTTTCCTCTTGTTTAGCTGAATAATGTTTTCATTAGTGGCTAAAGGTATTGGAATTTTGGTAACACAAGGATGTAGTCAAGCTCCTATTACTGCCTGCTAGTCCCTTTGCTAGTTGATCCTTTTCAGTACACCGGCTTGGTCAGATTGTTGTAAACCACTTCTTTAACCTATTTTATTACATGCTAGAACATAATGATGGCATCTTTGTCAAATACTTGGGAATTGGTCTTAGTGACAGGAGATTAGCTTGAACTTTTGCTTCAGAACCATGATGTCATTGCAATATTTATGGATTTTGACAATATTGTCCTTTAGAACTAATTAATATGTACTTTGTTATGTGATATATTCTATTATAAAGAGGGAAGAATGTACTTTGTCGAAATACTCTTGGATTTTCTCCTTTCTGTGACTATTCATGCATTCTGAATAGTGTGCTCTTACAGAGTTGTAAACATGAGAGTTGGGTCTCTATCTCAAAGCATTTGATGGATGATCTTCCTGTCCTCCTAAGTTCTGAGAATGTGAAGGACATAAAAGATGTTCTCTCTACTCTTCTTTCAAATCTACCTCCCAATTTTGCTGAATTCATAAAGTGGGTAGCAGAAGTTCGAAGGCAAGAGGAGAATGGTCAAAAGCTGAGTGAAGAGGAGAAAGGAAGGCTAGCAATCAAGGTTAGGTATCTGGATAATTTTAGTAAATTGAATTTAAAAAAGGCTTCAGAAATGGTCATATTCTTTTGCATATTCCCATCTCCAGTTTTAATCGGATAACGGTTGCAGGATAGGTCATTATTTATGAGTTCAGTAAGCACTCTTACCTTACTCTGCAGGAAGAGGTATTGAAACAAGTACTGCAGGACACTCCTCTTTATAAGCATGTCACAAGCCTTTTACTTGCAGAAGATTCTGTCTATCAGTTAAAAGCAGAAATGGAAAGCAGTTTGACCAATGTTGCTGCGAGCATTTGTTGCCAAGGAGCAGACATTTTTGCAGGAAGGTCTGGTTTGTCGGATAGGTTTTGCTGTCGCCAAACATGTGTCAGATGCTACAGAGCTACGGGGGACAATCCTGCTACAGTGGTGTCTGGGACAGTTGTAAATGGGAATGGGAATGGGAATGGGGAGCAGGGGGTTGATGTACTGGTCCCTACATCTCAAGCAAAGACTAGCTGCTGTTCTTCGGGGAAAAATGGTTGCTCACCAATGCACCCTGGAAGCAACGATGTGCTGACAGCACTGTTGCTGGCATTACCTCCACAAACATGGTCTCACATAAAAGATATGAAAGTCTTGCAGGAGATAGAGAACCTTGTCTCAGCAGAAAACCTGCCTCCTTTGTTGCAAGAATAGGTACCATTGTACATTATCTCCATCACATTTGCGTTTCTGTTTTAAGATCCCTATTTGTTATTTTGTCTTGGGAAGCCCAGAAAAGAAGGTTGCAGTAGGTTAACGGTTAGCAGAAAGCTAGTCAATTTTATGATTACTCTTAACAATAGAGTATTGTAATGAAAGAATCCAAATGGAGAGGATTTGTACAACGACCCCAACTAGCTAGGTTTGAGACTTTTGATTTTGTTGTCATTTTTATTGGAAATTCACGCGAGCACTTGGAAAGACCTTCATTCCTATAATAGAGCTTTCTACCCCCTTTTTAATTCGTAGGTACTTACTATGGGTCCTATTGTTTTTTCCTTTATAAGATTAACTAGTAAAATTACCCGCGCTTCGATCGCGCAAGAATTTAATATCATGGAAATTATAAAATAATACTTAAAACCTATCGGTCATTAAAACTAAAACACTATATTATCTTACATACAATATTACGTAGTAATAAAGATTAATAATGTAAAGGAAATGAAATTATTACATCTTATCATTTATCCTTAATAACATAAGCATAAATTAATGACTATAAAAATACATACCAGGACTTGTAACATAAGCAATGGTGTCAATGAGTCATTCAATAGGAGGAAAGTACATGAATATTTAATTGTGAAGAAGAAGAAGAAGAAGAGGGTCATAATTTTTGTTGTTTTAAAATGAGAGGAAATCCCTCTATTTATAGACAACAAAGGGTAGTGTGAACAAATGTTTATTGTGCCTTATCGGAATGGTTACAACTATTTGGAAAAGTTGCAACTCTTCGGAAAGGTCGCAACTTTTCATAAAAGTCGCAATTCTTCATTAAAGTCACAACTTTTCATGAAAGGGAAAAGCTAATTTTGTAAATAAATAAATAAATTAAAAGGGAATTCTGGTTTGTAGTGGCGCCATGTAGGCGAGCCTAAGGTTCTCTTTTATATATGACATATCATGTTAAATATCTATTTCCCTGCATTGTACTTTATGGAAGTAAGCTCTCCCCTTGAAGCAGGTTATCATGTTACTGATAATTCATTTCTAGTCAAACTGAAGGAACATGCGACTGATAATCTCATACACAGTAGTGAAACCTAAGGCACATAATTCTGTCTTGTGCATGTTATTCAGCCGTTTAATGTCTTATGCTATGCATCTTTGACCAATTGACTAAGTTCAAGGTGTAATAGATTTCTGAATATTCTTCTGGGTAACTGCAGATTTTGCACCTGCGAGGGCAGTTCCTCCTACTAAAGAGATGCAAGGATAACAAGGTAGAAGAAGATTTAGCTGCACCTCCCTTTTAGTTTGCTTTCCCAGGCTATTATAAATACATTGTTCTGATGTGAGATTCAGATCACATCACTGTAATTTTTTCAGACTTAAAATTCACCAAAGCACCATGATATCATAAGCTGCAAAACAAAATGCAGATGTCCTACTTCCTTTCATTTTTATAGGTTTGGTAAAATCAAGAACCACAAGGCGCGTCCCATGGAGCTGGAAATCTCTGTGGAGATCCATTTGGTCAAGCAGCTCTTTGGCATAAAATGCATGCCATGAAGAATGAGACGGTGTTGATCTATCCTGGAAAGTCCAGTTCATTTGTTAACGGTGGGGGTACGTTACACTCATGATACGAGAAACCCTACTGTGAAGCTTTTATGCCCTTCGAGCTCTCATATTTACAACGTACTTGACCAGGACTTCATTGTATGTGCGTGCACAAGTTGCTGTTCATTTTCTCATTTGTCTATGTAAATTTAGGATTTATTTGCCATGTATGTTGGTGTAATCATCATATCATATGATATATTAAAAGTGGGACCTTAAGTTGGATTACCATTTTGTCCCTCCACTCAATAAAAAATTACTCTGTAACATCTAATTAATTAATTGAATATTAAATAAAAAGCATATCATATGTATCAAATTCAAAATTGAAAGACAAAAATGTCCATAGAAAGTTACTAGACATTTTTACTCCTTTTTTGAAGACTGAATTAGTTATCCTATATTTAATTATATCATATTGTATTAGCTTTTATTATCAACGTCGAATTACAAGTTCACTATTGCAATAAATCAAAATATCATAAAATATCTAATTAAATATTATACAATCATATTTTAATTACTTGGAGAAGAAGACCAAGTTTAGCACAATACAAAATTTACGGCCCTTCATTGATGAATTAAAATCAAATTAAATAGTAATGTTTGAATTACATAGATTGTGAGTAAATAAAAAAACTCAACAATAATCATATTTTAATCCTCCACATTCAATTCTCCCTAAATGAGTGAAACTAATTTATTCCCCCATTACGTACTTTTGTAACTTCTTACATAAATGAGAAGTTGAACAATTTCTTCTTTAGTAAGTCAATTTGATTTTTTCACCTATTACGAGCATATGTAATGTAACTTACACATATACTTTGCCTCTAAAAACTTCATTTATAACAATATGAATTACCTCAATTATTACTGCTAATTATTTTAATTTTTCTTCTTCTCACCTATTAATTATTTTTCACAACCTTCCACATTCCTTGTTATTTTCATAAGGAGTATTTGATTTATCTTCATTAAATTATTTTTCGTAAATACTTCTGCACATGCACATTTTTTGAAAGTGTAAAATTTTTTTGGAAAATTGAAAAGTTAGTCCAATTAAACTAACTTGATATATTTATTGTTTACTACTCCCTCTGTCCCTAATTACTTATCCACTTTTGAATTGACACACTTATTAAGAAAATAATTATTGGTATAGTGAATTTACCATTTTATCCCTATTAATTATGAAGTGGATGAATTAAAAACTTAAGATTTTCAAGAAGTTCAACCTTTTTCAAAGTAATTAATTGAGGGTATAATAGGTAAAAAACATTGTCCTTTCTTGATCTGTCAAAATGGACAAGTAATTAGGGACAAAGGAAGCACTATTATAGTATTATATAAGTGGGAACAAGATAGCTAGCTACTAATAAATACTCCCTCTGTACGTAATTTCTTGTTCACTTTTGAATTGACACACCTAATAGTAAACTCATGAAGAAAAAAACTCACATATATGAATTTGTGATGGGTTTTCAATCCAAAACTCAACGTGTAGTAATTCATATTTTAAGGTGGAGTGACTTGGATAGCAGAACAAGAAATTGTTGCACCAGTAAGAATTTTGACTAATTCAATTATTTCTAATTTTTTTTTCTTTTTCTGAAGAACATATGAATTGTTACCAAGTTTATATGTAGGTCACTGTTGTAATCTTTATATTTTGCTACTTTTGTTTCACTGGATGTTCACGTGATTTGTTAGCATATTTTATTTTTAATTTTCTTGTTCTATCAGAAAGTTCATTTATCATTAATTCTAATGATTCTATATAAATTAGCATGGACACATGTGTAACACACGTGTCCAGAACTAGTATTACTAAAAGTGGGAAGCTTCAAAGATGAAAAGTTAGATTAACATTTCACCTCTAGGCACAATTAAACATTTAATTAATTAAATATTACATAAAAATATTTTAATTATTTTTAGGACAATGAAAGAATCATTAATAAATTTTTTAATATACTTATCATTTAACCCTACACTAAATTAATAATTTAATCAAATAATTAAATATTAAATGATAATATCTTAATTGTATTTTTAATTTTATATAAATTTTAAGTTACAATAAATTGTTTAATATAATTATCATTTTACCCCTACACTAAACTAAAAATTCAATCAATTAATTAAATATTAAACAATAATATCTTAATATACTTATCATTTTACCCCTACACTAAATTAAAATTTTAATCAAATTATTAAATATTAAATGATTATATCTTAATTATATTTAATTTTATATAAACTTTAAGTTACAATAAATTGTTTAATATACTTACCACTAGGTAAATTGTCCGCGCTTCGCGCAGTGAAGAACTACGTCAATAATCTACTTTTGAACATTTGATAATATAAGTGTTGTCGAGTGGTTACAACCCTACGATCAATTGTCAAGAATATTTTATCCAAAGATGAAATGAATATTTTTTTTTAATCTTAAAACCAAAAAAATTTGATTCAAAGTGTTTATGCATTTTTGTTATTAATTCTTCATTTTACTGTAGTTATTCATCATCAAAGTCTTTAGAACGATATGTAATTGTTTCATTGTCTATATTTGTATTTTCAAAAAATGGTACAAACATTTTATTCATCAATTGCGAGAGTTTTTCTCCTATTCAAGGCCTCTACATACATAATCTAAATATTATACATCTTATATAATTAGTTGTGTACTTGATAAATTAATTAAAATTTTAAAACACACCTCTTAGAGTTCAATGAAATAACGTATGTCGCTCAACTAATTTGGATTAAATGATGTCTTGGCAAGTTCCTTATTCAAAATCATTCGCAGTCGATGACACTACTTTGCTAGCCAAAAGGTATATTTTGTTGTTTATGTTTCGATCAATATGGTTAAAACTTTTTTTTGTGACTTTTAGTCTAATGTTTATAAGGAGATAATCATTTCTTTAATATTTGATTAATATGATTAATTCTACTTTGAGAGGTAATTCATTGACTCCAATCCAACATTTGAACCTCAAACTTTTGGTTAAGGTTGAGTACAATACTTACCATTCCACTACATTCCTTTATTTTTTGGATGTCACTAATCGATTGAATGCCTCGATAAGATAGAAAGTTGAATAACTAAAACTCCAAGTAGTGGGGAACCACCATAACTTCTGAACACTCAAAAGTCCCTTCTTGGACATCCCATGGATCTTTTAGCCACTGAAAACTCTATAAAGATCAAAGTCATTTATTTTACAAGTTTAGGAATTCTAATCTACATGACACCAATAGTCTAATGATTACATTAAACTCTTGATTAACATATCTTTACTTCAATATAATGATCTAAAGCATAAACATAAACAACAAAGTTTAAAACATATACTCAAAAACAACATTTAATAACATAAGCATAAATTAATGACCGTAAAAAACATACCAGGACCTATAACAATAGAATGAATTAGAAAGGAAAAAATCGAGCCCACGCACATTGTCCCCATAAGGAAATTATTCTCATCTAGTACCCGAGGTTTAAAGAAATAGATCCTCTCAAGATAGAACGATTCTATTCACCAGTGTATTGATACAAAAACAATGGTGTCAGTGAGCCACTAGGAGCAAAGTACACGAATATTTAATTGTGCAGAAGAAG